CTCCCTCCCTCCCTCCCTCCCTCGTGTTACGTTTTGAAGGTCTCATGCGGATCTGATCGCAAAATCCAGAGCCTCCAAACTTCTCTCTCCGCCTCCTTCTCTCTCTCTCTCTCTCGTCCCTCTCATCCTTGTTCATCACATCATCAGACACTTTATCACACACTCACACACACACGCGCACGCCATCGTACCACACACACACACACCTCCTCCCTCCCCTCCTTCTCATCCTCGTCCATCACATCATCATACTACACGTCTTAGCACAACCGCCTCATATACCTTCTCTCCTCACACTTCGTTCTTGACTTTTCATCTCACTACTCCGTCTCCCATGTGATGTTCATATACATTTGAAATTTGTAAAACTTATCATGTGGGGTTATCCGGTCCTTTTATTTTTTTGGTGGGAATTGATCCCTATCACTCCATATTCACACCTGGTCGGGAAGTGGACGTCAAGACTTAATGTGTGTTATTGTGCGGTCCCAGTGGATTTCTCATCAATTACATGGCTCAAGGGGCTAAAGGGGTACTCACGAAACTTTGGTGCCACACTTAGCTGCAGTCCCTGAACACGAAAGAGACTAAAGAGTTAAGAAAGGCCCCTCCACAATCAAGACCAAGGGTCTTGGTCCGGTGTTTTTGTGTCTCGTCCGCCAGTCCACGACAACCCCCCTCGTGTCACACAGTACCGGTCGACGGCGGCGTTCGCCAGACGCCTTTGAAAGAGTCACGACTCTATGAGCTCCGCGTGTGCCCTGGCGAGCACGACATATGCCATCAGAAACCACGGCGCAGTCGCACCGCGATGGGAGTGTTTGGTGAGGATTTTGAGGTTTTTTTTGCTGTGAGTGTTTGTGTTTGTTGGTTTTGCTTGATGGTGGACCAGGAATAAACAAATATAAGTTTAACTTCATGTTCAGGCAATCAGTTTGTGAGAGGATGATCGTCTCCTTGCCGCTGAAAAATGGTCAGTTTCCACAGAGGCCACTACAAAGGTCCAGGTATAGTTTAAAGGCTTCCGTCCACTGCTCAACATGGCTTGTGGCACCTGAACGCGTCACGCTATATATAGAGGCCGTTGGGGCAAGCCCTGAGATCTTCGCACCGCTTGGAAGGAGTGATCCTTCTTGTACATTGACAAGAGCCACACAAAAGATTGGCAAACACCGGCATCCAGCTACTTGTTGAGTTGGTTGTTTGTTGGCTTGGCCTGAGCATTGCTTCGGAAACCGGAACGCTGTTTGGGTTGGCTATTTTTGGATCAGTCCACCCTCAGGCATCACGGTTCCATCGCACGCACTAAGACTGCCAAGGCACCGGGCCGTTTCGTCTCGCAAAAATCATTAGAAGAAGCTACTAGGAACAAGGGCATCGCTACTAGGAGCAAGAAGCTACTAGTAGCTCCTGGCCATACTACTACGTCGTAACAAGAAGCTACTAAACAAGAAGCTACTAGTAACGAGGGCATTACTACTAGTAGCCAGAAGCTACTAGCATAAAGCTATTTGCTACTAGTAGTAATGCCCTTGTTACTAGTAGCGATGCACTTTTTCCTATTATAGCGGGTCTTCGGGTGGCAGTGCACGGTTCGTTGTGGCATCGAACTTGTCTTTTTGACATACAAGGAGTTGTGCTGAAATGTGAAGGTGCTTTGCATTCCGGTGTGCATCAACCCATTCCTTGCTGTGCGTTTTGAGAAAAATCCTGACCTATCGATCGTTTACCCAAGTTCATCAAACATTATATTTTATCATAGTTTGCCGATTTGCGTACGACTGCCAGGGTCATACGCTTGCCCCAAACAGAGCAGCATCACCTTGGCAACGCTTGCCTTCCAACATCACAGGAAACACTGAACTGGTTTTGCCATGTTTTGCCTCTTAGAACATATTTATACTCAAAGGTTGTTGAGCACCAGAAAACCACTGAGTTGCAGTTTGGACTCCCAGGTTTGCCGTCACAGCAAATCGCTCCAAGCCTCTCTGAAACTTGGGGAGTCGGTGGCAGTAGCTTCGCTGCGCCCGAGTCGGTGAATCCTTCGATGTGCAGGCGGAACAAGTGACGCAGGAGCAGAACCCGCGGAAGAAGAGCCGGAAACGACCGCCGGAAGCTGAGAATTGAGCAAGGGCATTACTACTCGTAACAAGGGCATCGCTACTAGTAACGGGGGCATTACTACTAGTAGCCAGAAGCTACTAGTATAGCTATGTGCTACTAGTAGTAATGCCCTTGTTACTAGTAGCGATGTAGCCTGGATCATGGCGGAATCGAAGCCTGAAATGGAATTCCACAGACACAGATTGAGTAGACGCGCCCGCGCGATCGTGGTTGCCCCAGTGGTGTAGCCTGGATCTGGCGAAACCTATGGGCGTCATGGGACACGTTTTTCATGCGTCACACCATGCACAGCTGGAAGGTTGGTATTTCTTGGAATCATCAACTCTACTTCAAAAGGTTGTGGGCACGCCATAGCACCAGTACAGAGGTAGTTTGCTCTTGCTGATGACTCTCTCCTGCAAGCGGTCTTGAAATGGCTTGTAGGACACTGGGATCCAAGAGTTCTTCCATGTTCTTCAACTTCTCATCCGGTTGCGTCACACAGGGAAGAGTTTTTCTGTCTTCACCGCAAGATCAAGGTCACCTATAAAGAAACGTCTCTCCAATGGTCTATGCATATTTGGTTGGACTCCTAGGAATCGCTCCACCAATTTGGCTGAGAGCAGTGCAGTCGACTCAAGGGCTTGATCCAACAACACCATTTCGGGTAGAATTACAGCACCATGTCTTGAAATTGTCCTTCACGCCTCGATCATCCTCAGGCCCACCTCCGCAGAGCAAGTCCGACAGCTCTGCGACGTGATGCGCCACTCGATGGAGCTCGTTGGAACAAAGGCCTCGAAGATCTGATTCCAAACAAGAAATATCAAAAGCGTTTCTTCATGGATTTGGGGTTGCAAAAAAAAGCAAAAACGTGTTCTTCCATCTTCTTCCATGGTGTTCACCCAGTGCTCGGAAAGTGGGAGGACCTACACTATGTTCACCTGCAACCTCTCATGTTCGGCGCAAATGGAGGGCCCAGCTATTAGGAGTTCAAATAACCGGCCTTGAGCGATTTGGGGCCTTGGAAGGTCATCTCTTGGCGGAGTGACGCGACTGAGAACTCACAGTACAGCAGAGACAGGTTCAGTCGTTGGTCATGCAACCCCGGACTCAAAAATGTATTGTTTATTATTGTTTTAGTTTGTGTAGATCAGCAGCGTTTCTGGAGTGTGAGAATCATTTGCTGGAATTAGACTGCCTATACCTGAAATGGCTTCATTCCCAGATCCAGATGAACAGTTGGCAAGACGCCATATCGGTCTTCCCCAAAAAGCCAAGCTCGTTGCTTCAAGGTTGTGCAACCCTGCCGAATACTCCATAAGCTCGTGCCGCCTTGGTTTTCGGCACTTTCATCCTGTCTTTCACATCCCACTTTGGACGAATTTCCATGGAATTTCCCTACACTTGGCATCCCCAAGCGGATGGCACACCCCAGATCCGGGTCACCGGTCTACTCCGTCGGTGAGCCGCTTGCCGCGCGCATTGTTCACGTCTCAACTCTGGGCGATCTCAGGCACTCTTCACAAACGTACCGCCCCTCGGCCGTGAGAACGTGCACGGATGGCGACTTTTTGCATCAAAATGTGTCGGATCAACGTGGATTTGTCATTGGTGTAAACAAAGAAAGACACAATGCATGTAACATGTCATGTAACCGGAAGCATTGAAGACACGGTGTCGCTTCTCTTCAACGCATTTTTCATGTTCTGGTTGCTTCTAGCTGAGGAGAGCAAGCAGAGCCAGGAGAGCAAAATCTTCGAACGCTATGGCCTAGGCCGCACTCTCCTGGTCGACCCCAGTGGATGTCATCTACGCCCCACTCGACTCCCTGCCACGTTTTTGGCAAAACCAGTTCAGTCACCTGGGGTAATACTCTCTCGGGGCAAGGAAGTCCTCGACGGTTTTCTCATTTTCAGTTGCTGAGAGTTATTAATGCCTTCCAAGCACCTCCATGCACTGCCTGTTCAGTAGACTACTTCTGCATGTTCAGTCCACGCGCAGGTGAGAGCCGCCGCCTGCAGACCGCGTGACGATGGATGAAACATCACCAGAGGTGATCTCGAGTGTATCAACTACCAAGCTCGGTGTGCCAAGCTCCAGAAGTGCAATTTGTCAGAGCCTACAATCCTAGCATATCCTAGCCATGCAAGTGGAAGGACATGAAATGGAAACAACACGATAAATTAGTATACAGTATACAAATGCTGTCCACAGATATTTGTTCCACGGTACACCGTGCACGCTCTC